TTCAACCGTGTTATATTATGATTTTGGCGCCCCCTGATATTGGCGCCCGGGGCAGGTGCCCCGGTTTGCCCCCCCCCCCTTAGATCCGAGGCTGCCAGGGACGTACCGGGGACGTACAAAGCGTTGGAAAATGTACGTCTCTAGTACGTACATAGTAGATACCTGTACGTACTTGTACGTACCAGGGACCTGACGTTCGTCCCAACATTACGTACCAGGTACGTACATAGTACGTACCGTGGATGTATGGGTATGGATTAGTCAGTGTAATGGCGATATAGACTACTACGTTATCCAGGCTCTATCTGGACATGGCTGTTTCAATAAATATCGAAGATCACACATACACAACATAGATCGCTGAGTGCGTGTATTGTAGTGGAAAAGATAATGCTAAACACACACTTTTTATCTGTAGCAGATGGGAAGAGCAAAGAAGACTATTTCCAGGGGAACTGGAAACGACTTTAATGTTACAAATATGATGGAGTCTATCGAATAAATGTGACAGCTGGGCTATAAAACCATAAGATACATTATTCAGACCAAAAAAAGAGAACACAGACTGAATAAAACCATCCGGGCCATACACCAACATTGACCACTGATCTGTGATATTATACTGTGATATATACTAACTTGTGATAAATACTTACATGTGATATATACTTTTGCCTGTGAAGTATACATCCCACATTTGTCTTAATTGTTCAGTCGACCATAGATTCTGTGTTATCCAATAAAGAGACCAGGCAGAACGTGTTGAAGTAATGCGAGAGCGGTTTCCAATGCGTTTTTGTCTATTTTTTACCCCTCATAAAAAAAAATTATAATAAATACTCGGGAGAGTGACATACTTTTTTTTAATAAATAATATAGCAGTCGATGAGGCAAAAATTATATTGTTTCGATGATAATGTATTTAAAACAAAGAATTTAAAGTCAACTAACAGTATTTCTGGAAGTACTGCCAAATTTGAAAATATTGTTAATTTCCCATTGTAATAAAATTGTAATATGCCAAGATCTTCAAATGCAATCTCAACCATTGGCATTGTATATTGATATTTAATATTATGTTTTCGAGTTTAGACCAGTTTTATTTTCTAATTGTTTATTGGGACATCAATAAGCAATTGCTTATAGTATGTTGCAAATAATGATCTTCAAGTGCAATCTCAACCATTGGCACTGATTCATTGATATTTAATAATTATCTCTCTCTCTCTCTCTCTTAGGGTTTAGTTCCTAACTGCGTATTGATGTCTCCTCTGGTCTCTTCACGAACATAAGAACATAATGAGAATTAACATAGATTTAAGGTAATACAAGGTGAGCCTTAAATAAGTGCAAATATTTTCAGGGGTGGTATTTTCTCTTTACCGTTTTTCAAATAAGACCAAAATTAGAGTTAATCAAGTTTGAAATTAAAACATTAAAAAAACCTGAGAGCCACCGGATTTTTTCTGTATTTGCATCCCCTTTAGCGCTGTAACCATAGACTAAAGCCGTAACCATGGTAATATCAGAGATAAAGAAATTATAGCGTGGGAAATTTGCGGTGATTAGACAGTTCTAACAAGTTTTTTAAAATATACAGGAAATTTTAAAAGAAAATGGTACAAATTTTAACATCTTTTTTTGCGAAAAAAAAACTCATAGACGTTTTCCTGGGGTCGAAATATACCACCCTAAAATATTTGTCTAATTTAAGACTCTAAGAAGTATATTAGAAACAAAAAAATAGCTCTCTAACCGATATATACTATGTGGTAGAAAGTGGGTTTAGCGTTTAAGTTAGCGGTAGTACAAAATCAAATAACAAAAAAGATTTCCAATTTTGTAAAACTGCAGTAACAGTTTTAATGCGTCAATTATGTAGGCGAAATTAAGTTTTGATTCCAAATACGCAGTAAAGTTTTTTATTTAATATATATATTGTATATAAATAAAAAATAATGTGGGTTATTAATTTAGTTAAACCAACCTGTTCTGTGGTCAAACTGTACTCAAAAAATCTAATGGGAAAGTTTTGGCGTAGTTTAGATTTTTTCTATTCTACATAAGTATGGTTTTGTTTTTTTTTAATTTGAATCTGAAGTTTGCCAATATAATATACTGACGAAATATTGAAAAATTTCAAAATAATGTAAGATATCTAATTTTTAGACTTTTTATAACTCAAAGACCAACTTCCCACAAGTAAGTTTTTGCTACAAAATTGAAGTATTTAAAATTTTCTATAATTTTTTTGGTTAAGTGTTCTTCTCTGAGAAACTCTGGCTCAGCCCTTTGAAGTAAATATACTGCTCTAGATTAATTGGCATCAAGTTCAGATGTAGAATGTAGAATGGGTGAGAAGGGGAGTTTAATCACTTGGACCTTAAACCTTAAAGATCATGCATTTTCCTGTTGTAGTAATACAACACAAGGTATTTCCCATCCTTCTCTGACATCAAGTCCAGATATTTTTGTGCATCAAGCTCATCACAGAAACGCATAATACATCTATCGCATAATTCAGACAAATTACAAATCCATAAATCCAATACTATTTATTTATTTTTTATTTTGATAAAACTTTTTGGATCCCCAAAAACTATCGGATGGTGGAAAAGAACATAAGGCAGACATTCATTGCGATATCACTAACAAAGTCGATAGTACGAGTATAGTACATACATACTGCCATTAATCGCTGACGAGTATTCGACACGCATCAGAAGATGGTCACGCAAGGCGTTTTCTTTCATGAACTTTTCTGTGACTGTAAAGCCCGATACGTGATATTATCTGTCTACCGCACTCTGGACATTCAAAAATCTTATTGCTTTGTTGCCTCTTTACTTTTTGATTATCGATGTTAACTGAGTTTACAATTCTTCTCCATTGCGTTCTATTTTGAACTGCTCCTTCCAACTCATTCTGCATGGTAATTCTCTTTAAGTTTTCGTCGAAAATATCCTTGTACCTTTTGAGTTGTCCACCCGGTCTTCTCTTACCGTCTACAAGGTCCCTATAAAGCAGAGATTATGGTATGCTGTTTTCTGATCAGCCCATCTTAAGCGGGATTTTGTAACCATGACTTCAATACTCTCGCAGTTAGCTTTTTCAAGGACCGATACATTTGAGACATGATGGAACCATTTGATTCTTAAGAGTTGTCTAAAGTGTCTCTGTTGCAACTTGTTTAATGCGTTCATATATCGGCGGTACGGCACCTAGGTTTTGCTTTCATATAACATGGTGGAGATTATTGTTGCTCGGTACCCTGTCTTTTAAGTTCCAGAATGCTCTTGAGACGCTGCTAATCCTGTGCTGAATTTCAGAGTCGATATTGGCCTTTTCCGAAATTAAACTGCCGAGGTAATTGAATTCCGCCATATATTCTAATAGTTCTTCTCTGATTTTTATAGCATTGTTGTGATCTTCCGGGGGAGTGTACATGAGTGAGAGGGGGGGGGGTTAATCACTGCGACCTTAAAGATTCATTGTGCCCCCTTTTCTTGAGTTATAACTCACTCAGTCTATAACCCATCTTGCATTTTCCTGTTATATTGGGGGCAGGGTATTTCCCATCCTCCTCTAACAACATCAAATCCAGATATTTTTGTGCATCAAGCTTCATCATCATATTCAGACAAATTACATATTTATAAATCCAATACTTTTCTATTATTTTTTTATTTTGATGTAACTTTTTGAATCACCAAGACTATCGGATGGTGGAAAAGAACTTGCAATTGCAAGGAAATTGCAATATCATTTACAAAGTGGATAGTACGAGTATCGTACTTATTGTCTAACAGAATTTTCTTGTAAATTCCACAAACAAAACCTAGTTAGTGTATATTAATTGGAAACTTTTATTCTCTATTTTTTTGGAAATTGAAATGTTAATTAAAAATATACGTTAGCATTTAAATATCAAATTGATTTACGGGAAGCTGTGGTAAAACTTTTAATAATAATTATCATCAATAAAGCTTATATAAGTTTCCCTCATTAATTAAATACGTAACAGTAGTGATTAATGATATTACCAATCTTATAGTACATTTAATTAGTCCGTGTCCATAGCTGTCCGTGTAGCCGTAGTGAAGTTGTATCATACAATGTCTCATATAGCTATGTGAGACATTGTATGATTAGGTTAGGTTAGGTTAAGACAATTTTCCTAGATCATACGCAGGGTGTCTTCTAATTTTAAATAACTGCTAGTATTAAACGCAAAATCTAATTTAACTTAAATGGAGTACCTCGTATATATTTGCCAGCATCAGAATTACATTTTGTAGGAATTACTATGATGGTGGGGGTAAATATGTGTTTTTGTGTATCACAACAGATGGTATCTTGTGGTTGATTTGAATGTTTCTTTCACTGCAACATCCTAACACATTTACATCCTAGAGACAACAAATTTACGTTTAATGGAAGATAATATTTTCCTTATCTCTTTATATTATTTTGGCTTGAATGTTAACGAAACTGGTAGAACTATTGATGACCCATTTAGCGATTGTCTAAAAAACTAGTAAGTTTTTATGATTTTCTGGTAAATATTTCAAAACTTAGTCTGTTTCGCTTGCTGTTACAAAATGTTACAGGTGTTCTGTTTTTATATTATTACAACGATAAAAATAAAGAAAATACTTTACTATCTATAAAATACCTAAACGTTTTTCTTGATCAAAAATATTGTACTAATTCATTTAAACCTAAGTTCTTAATCCTATTAAAACCAATAGGTAGGTACGCTGTTTATATTTTTTGTCGTAATAACTAAATATTTACCCTTTCTTTTATAGCAATCATTATTATTATTCTAGTCCCACCCTTAACCATTTAACACCATAATTACTGCGATAGACAGAGACACACAAGGCGGTCAACTTTCAAATTTGGAGGTGCCTTATGCCGCTGTTGCGAGCAACGAAGAGAGAATTAAGGTCGCGTTCACAAGAGTGAAAGAAACAGACTGAGCACTGGTAGGGGCCTTAGTACTGCTGCAGAATTCGTACTGTGTGCAGTAGTAGTAGTTCGGAGCGTACTAGACTGCAAAGTACGAGAAAAAAATAGGGTTTAAAAAAACGCGGGACATTTGAATTTTTATTATTAATTCGAAAAGCCATTTTAAATTGTTTGTGATTTTGTTTTGTGACTGGTGGATTTTTTGATAGAAGATTTTTAGGATTTTCTCTTCTTTAATTCAATTTTGGATTCCAATATGGTAAGCAAAATTAATATTAATTATAAATGATTTTTTATTAATATAACAGTACCTTACAGTATTACAGTATATTTAGTATGATGATAGAATACAGTATATCTCAATAATTTTAATCAAGGCATAGTGCCATACATTTTAAATTTAATATAGTAAAAATATAGTTTAATTTAATAATTATTTTGGTTTTTTTATATTGTATTTTATTTATTTATAAATAATTCCTTATTTCGTTATTATTGCGTAGTTAATTATTTCAAAATTTGTTTCATATTATTTTACGAATATTTGTAATTATTCAGACAATATTCCTTCAACTTTTACTTTTTCCAAGGCAGTAATGCTAAGTTGTTAAATATTAGCACAATGTCATGCAAACAATGGCAAAGTTAATACCTCTAGTAAGATTTCTCTTAATTTTCTCTAATTTTGTGTTATTTTATACCATATGTTTAATATGAGAATGTTTTATTAAAATCATGAGGATCTAGTTCAGATTTTGTAGTGGACTCAATGAGTGTACAGAGTGTATAACAAAAATCAGAAATGTTTTTTTGAACTAATCAAAAATCAAAAGAATATATAGGATACCCCTCATAATTAATATCTAATAATTTTGGGATATATCATAAGACTGTGTTTTGTTCTATATTTGATAATTGTTTTAAAAATACGTTTCGATAGTAACAAATCATCTGTTTGTTTATTACTAGGAAATATTAAAATTTTTCAAAACACCCTATTAGGTCGCTATTACACAAATATATTCAATCAAATTTCTTTGTCAAGATCTTTTTTAAAAAATATTTTTAATGAAAAATTTGACAGTGTTAATATACAATATTTTATAAAATGACACATATTACACTGGCAAATTCTTTAACAAAAAAATTTGATAGTGTAAAAGTACCCTTAGAATGGAAATTTGGATAATCAAATAAATCGTTCCTGAGGTGGTTAAATTAATGCCAAAACTTTGAGTAATTTTAATTGTTCTCATATACATACATATCTATACTAATATATAAAATCCTTAAGTGACTGACATACTGATTAATCACGATCCTGCTCAAACCACTCAACGCAAGGAGCTCAATTTTGGCATACAGGTTGATTCTAGGGTGTAGAGGTTCGATAAGAAGGGATTTTTCGAAATTTCAGTTCCAAGAGGGTGAAACCACCCCTCAAATATTACAATATTTTTTATTTAAAAAACAGTCAAGTTTCCGAAAAAAACGCTTAAACACGTATATTTTATTTTGTTTTTTTACATATTTTAAGATTTTTTAAAAATGTATACAAGGTGTTTCGAAAAATCTGGTCATTGATTAATCACGATCCTCCTTAAAGCGCTTGACGTAAAAAGCTGATTTTTGGAAAACAGATTGACTTTAGGGTGTAGATTTTAGGGTGTAGAGGTTTGATAAGAAGGGATTTTTCAAAACTCGAATTCTAAGGGGGTGAAACTATCCCTCAAATATTAAAATATTTTTTATTTTAAAACCGGTGAGTTTTTCGAAAAAACTCTTAAACACGTAAACTTTATTTTGTTGTTTTACATATTTTAAGATTTTCAGGTGACAGGGTGTTTCATAAAATATGACCATGGAGTAATCACGATTCTACTTAAACTGCTTTGACGTTTAAAGCTGATTTTTGGCAAACGGATTGACTGTGGGGTGTAGAGGTTCGGGAGGGGGTTTCTCGAACCTCAAATTCCAAGAGGGTGAAAACGTCCGTCAAATATTACAATATTTGTTATTTAAAAAACGGTTAGTCTTTCGGGAAAACGCTTGGACAAGCATAATTTATTTGGTTTTTTTACATATTTTGAATTTTTTTAAAAAATCATACAGGGTGTTCCAAAAAGTTGGGTAATTTCTTAACCACGATTCTGCTTAAACTGCTTGACGTAAAAAGCTTATTTTTGGCAAACAAATTTAAAAAAGTTATATAATAATATCGCCATATTGTTTTTTCTCATGCTGACATAAATGTGAGAAAATTTTATCCAGTTTGTATGTTAATGGGAATTCTTGCTTTGCTTTATCATCATTATTACAAATGATTAATTCGACGAGAACGAAGTCGCTGGTACACGCTAGTATAATATATAATTTTTTAAAAACAATTTCTGACCACCTGTCTCTTGAAAAGGTATTCTGATAGGTGTAGGGAACTAAAGTATAGTACAGTTGAATTTAAGATACAATCAATGATTGACTTAAATTCTTTGGAAATACACGCTAAATATAATATTTATACTTGAAATGCAACCTACTGCTAAACGGAAATGTCATTTGAAAGCCGTTCCTTGACAACCATTCTACAATTTAATTCTAGTTAGATAATATACCTCGTATCATTAAAACAGTGAATAGCGAAATAATTATATTATTTCTTATACTGTTATTCTATGTTTTACGTGATCGAGCTCTGTAACATTTAATAATTTACAAATTTATATAATTTAGGTAAAAAACAACTTTGTACGCTGTTCTACGATTGTGTTGGCATTCCAAAATGCAATTCAGTCTTTGTCACTTTTTATTTAGCAATATTTTTGCTTTGCGTAATTTACCAGTCGTTCATTCAGATTTTACGTAAGAGATTTCTAAATATATGAAGGATAATATTATTTTAAGGACCGTTATGATATGTATGGTTGCTAATATTTTCATTGGCACGTCCTAAGTAGTAAGTAGATATATGAAATATTCAATGTTCGTAATGACTATGAATATTAAATAGGCCTGGTGGAATCGAAAGACAATATTGCAATTGTCTTTTAAGTTCTACTTAAGACTGTTTAAACATACTAAAATTTAAAAAATTTCTGGTATCTAAAAAGAAATTTACAACCTACCACTAGTATATACATTATACATATGTTAAAAAGTAAAGTTTTTAAGCTACTAGGTACAAAATAGGTTGTCGCTTCTATCATGCAGCTCTAGAGAGTAAAAGATTTTCAAATGGAGTATTATTTACCGTTTTAATTTAGAGTTAATTTTATTTTTAATTAAATAATAGCTTCTAAAGAAACGATGTAATATTTTTTTCTGAAATTCATTTTAAGTATCTATATGTGTCTCAAAAGACAAACATTTTTTGTTAAAATAAGCAACCAATAAGATATGTCTTTCGGAAATCTCAAAGTAAAGTTTTAGGATAAACTAAATGGTTTTACTTTTGCCTATAGACTGTCCAAAGGGAGGATCCCTGACAGTGACACTTGCGTCTGTCGTTTAATTAATAGGCAAATTGTATTATCTTTCATTTCTTTTAGATGCCGTCTGTCAACATCTTCCCCAAGTCCTTAGATAGACTATAGTTGCATTTAAATACCATTTAAGAAGTTTTAATTCGAATATCAAATTATCATAGATAATCTTTGATTGATAAAGTTTGGAACGTGTAATTTTTGCAAAACTAATAATTTATTTTTGTTTACTGAAAAATTTTGACATTTAAAAAAAAACTGAAATATACTAGTTAATTGTATTAATATTGATTAAGTCACACAGTATTAAATCAATATATATTCCATATAATCTATCTAGTAATATTAAGAGACTGAAGTTAACCTTTACAAGACTCATTTAGGTGACGCTTTTTCACCATAAAGGACATTACATATATATTTCTTTTACCTTTTATGTATTTAATTTTCTTATGTAATGTTGCATATATTATATTATAGAATATAAAAATAACGTGTTTATTAAAAGATTTGTGATTTATAAAATCATATCGTGAAATCTTTTATTTGGCATTTAAGAGGAGGCAATTAAAATAATTAATTTTAGTAAATATTTTCATAAATATTCGAAAGAGTGCAAACGTTATGTAACAAAAGTTCAGCTATTAAATAATATATTAATGATATGGGAATATGTTAATGAAAAAGGTCAAGTATACTTTTATCACCAAATAATAAAGTTTATAAAATATAATAATGTGTAGGCCACCTTCTTCAATTTTTCTCATACTTAACACCTATATTTCTTTACAAAAAATGGCAATTTTAATGATTTTTCCATGTTCAATATTTATTACTTTATTTTAAAAATATCCAAAAAATGGTGTTTATGTTTTTGGAATAATTTTGGAAAATTTTGAGTATTTGTTTTGTCAATAGCCATTTTCTTGAAAAATAATTTAAACATACGATTTGTCGCGAAAAATGTGGATGTTTGCTTTTGCTTAAAAATACTACCTTACAGTCAAAATATATGTGTTTTGTCTTTAAAAGAATACTTAGTTTAAATATTACTCGTAAATAGTAGATTTTCTTGACAACGTTGTAAGTATATGTAATAAAATTTACATATTTATTCAAGTGGTCTATAATAACAACTGCTCTAGTTCTTTCCAAGTACACCAGGATATAATTAATAAACATTTATTTCCTATATAAAAAAACTGGTGGAGTTTTAGCACTAAATAACAATTCTTTAATGATTAATTAATTAATAACTTTTGGTGTAGTATTAAAATTGGTATTTTAGATAACAACCTCCTGATGTATGATCAAATGAAACAGCACAATTCTAGTTAACTAAAATATGTACCAATTTCAGAATAATTTAGTCTCATGGACATTATACTTTTTTAGTTTAACCTAACCTTTTAGTTTAACATAACTGTCATTTAAAATAAAAATGTTATCGTAACTAAAATATAAAAACCTCTCCTCTATGTCTGCATTATAACTAAAATGTTTTCAACGAGTTTGGAATGATTTCGACAGAATATCTTAAACATAAAAATACTGTCTACCTGTGAATGAAACTGACAGACATTTGACAAACTTCAGTCACTGTCATTGTCAAGTATCAGTATCCTTTCTTTGGATAGGCTACAACATAAGTTATTCTTTATAAAAATATAAAAATATTCAGATAAAGAAAAATATAATATAAATTAGTGTAAAAGGTAAACAACATATTTTTGTTGCAAAAATGTCTTAAAATCAGATTTTATATACGCAAAGTATTACT